ACACACACACACACACACACACAGTGGTTCAAATAGCAATGACTCCCATTGGCTCATAGATTTGTATGCTTGGTCACCAGGTAGTGGCGTTACATGGCAGGAATTAGGAGTGTGGCCTTGTTGGAGGAAGTGTGTCACAGGGGGTGAGCTTTGGGGTTTCAAATGCTCAAGCCAGGCCCAGTGTCGCTCTCTCTTGCTGCTGCCTGTCTGTCTGGATGTAGAACTCTCAGCTACCTTTCCAGCTCCATATCTACCCTCATTCCACCATGATAATAACGGAACAAACTTCTGAAAGTGTAAGCCAACCCCAGCTAAGTGTTTTCCTTTGTAAGAGTTGTTGTGGTCATGGTGTCTCTTCACAGCAATAGAATACTGACTCAGACACCCCCAAATAAAATAAAAAATAAATCTTAAGAAAAAATAAGAAAGGGGCAGGACGTAAAATCGATTAGTAATGTCTGCCATGAGAGCAAGATCAGGGAGCGTCTGCTATTACACCAGATACTTGGTTTTTCTCATTTACCTGTTGTACTTTGGACCTTTGCTTCAAAGGGTCTCTTGCGGTACTGTGCACTGTGAGTTGGTCAAACCACATTCAAATCACAGACGCACAGATGAAACATTCCTTAATCTTCTGCTATGAGCTGGGAACTGGGAGAGGGCCCAGGGGACAGAAATGTCCCCTTGGACGTTAATTCTACCCTGCTTTTCAGAAAGCCATCAGCTTTGAGCTGGGGGTGTAGCTCAATCTGTAGAGTGCTTGCTTGGCACACATAAAGTCCCGGGCTTGGTCCGCTGCATTAATGACATAAGCCAGGTCTGATGGGGCACACCTGTAATCCAGCCTTTGAGAGGTAGAGGTAGCCGGGCGGTGGTGGCACACGCCTTTAATCCCAGCACTCGGGAGGCAGAGGGAGGCAGATCTCTGTGAGTTCGAGGCCAGTCTGGCCTACAGAGCTAGTCCAGGACAGACTCCAAAGCTACAGAGAAACACCGTCTCAAAAAACCAAAAAAAAAAGGTAGAGGTAGGATCAGAAGTTCAAGGTCATCCTCAGCTATACAGAGTTCAAAGCCACTCTGTACTATTTTTTGATACCCTGTAAATAAAACAAAACCACTCACCAACAAGATTAAAAAAAAAAAACCCAACAAGATAAAAACAAACAAACAAACAAAAAACACCTAAAAGTAAGCAGTCAGGCAAATGTCAGTCTTCTTCAAGTTAGACTCTAGTCCAGCTATGGAATAGAAATGTCCAAACTGGGAAGGATCCCAATTCTTCTCTTTGTATCTCCTAATGAGAGGCTGAGCCCTGCCCAGCTAGGTTAAACCAGTCACCTGGCCTGGGTACTAAGTTTCAAAAGCATCTAGGTGTTCTGAGGTGAGGTTGGATCTCCTCCTCCTCCTCTTCTTCCTCCTTCCCCTCCTCCTCCCCGCCTTCTTTGTCATCATTTGTTGTTGTTGCTGTTATTTGTTTGTTTTTATGGGTGTTCTGCCTGCGTGTCTGCACCATACGCAAGCAGTGCCAGGGAGGCAAGAAGCAAGCCTCCAATCCAAGCCTCTGGAACTGGAGTAACAGGTGTGTGTTAGGCACCATGCTGGGAACCGAACCTGGGTCCTCTGCAAGAGCCACAAGTGCTCTGTACCACTGAGCTATCTCTCCGGCACCCACCCCACCCCCTTGTTGTTTATTTGAGACAGCCTCATGTTTCCAAGGTTAGCTTTGAACTCCTGATCCTCTTGCTTCACTGAATGCTGAGGTTATAGACGCATCACCGTGCTCAGCAGCACCAATTTCTTTTTTTTTAAATTAACTTTATTAAATCTTTGTGTGTGTGCACGTGCACATATGTGGGCGGCCATTATTGCATCATGGCCATTTTACAAACGAAAATGTTAAGTTCGAGAAGGGCAAAGAACTTGAAGAAAATCACTTCCCGTTAACAAGTGTGTAATGAGGAAGATGAGTCTCAGAGCTCAGGCTAGCCCATCTTTCACCTGTACTGAGGGATTGCGCTCAGCTCCAAGCCTGCTTCGGTAGCTTCCTGGGTGAACCTCCAGATCTCTGCAAGGGAGTCCCTTGGTCCTCCTCCAGGAGGGCTTCCTTCCAGGGCCCCTCCCAGAGAAGCCAGAAAAGCACACCCACGCTGCAGTCCTCAGCCTTCTCCAGAGATCTTTCCATGCCCATCTCATCTAGGCAGAGGGTATGGTGCCCTCTGAGTGACTGTGTGTTTGTTACCTTTGGCTCTGCCAGGCCTGGCTGGCACAGGCTGGCTCTCCATGAATGTTGGATTTGTTGGGGGCTGGATGCACTATGGAGCTAGGCCAAGAGCAAAGCACAAACCCGCTGGCAGGCTCAGCTGTCAGCATGCACTCCAGGGCCAAGACGCTTGCCTCTCCTCTGGCCAGGGACTTCTGACCATTCTGCCAGAACGCCCAGTCCCTCGGCCTTGGCTCTCCCGTCTCCTCTAAATGCCAGCCAGTGGGAGTAAGGGTGGAATCCACCCCCATCGGGGTCTGTGCCAGCCACACAGGAAGCCAGAAGCCTTCTCACCTCCTTGATCTATGGAGTCAGCAGAAGTTCATAGGACAGTGATGATGAGCAGGCATTGTGCTCAGTGCTGGGTGTAGATGGGAGCACAGGCCAGGTGTGATCCCTGGCCTCACTGAACTGACACACCAGTGGGGGATACACCTAACCAATAAGCACACAAGCAGGTATGCATTAGCAAACTCTCCATGAAGGGAACCAATTGGGACTTTCGAGAAGAATGAGCTACTCAAGCACATTAGTCCCGGAAGGCCTCCAGGAGGAGGTGACATGGAAGGCAAGGCCTGAGGAACTGAAGTAGGCCATGCAAGGCAAAGGGAGGAGCATTCTAGAAACCTCATGAGAGAAGCTCTAAGGATGGAATGCTGGGGATATGAGAGCAGGCCTGTGTAGCATAAACACTGAGCAAGTTTGGGGTCAGCACGAAACAAGGCTGGAAGTCAGGATGGGATTTAAAAGGAGCTCTGATTTTTATCATTAGAATAACAGGGTGTGTGGTGGGGGCGTGTCTGGGGTTCAGGCTGGGTTGATATGATGTGCCCTGCACATGCCACATTCTCGCCAGTGCCTGCTGAGAACTGACTGCCACAGCCAGGACCAAGCCAGGAAGCCGGGGCAATAGACTAGGGGGAGAGGGGACATTGCCAGGCCTGGAGCCCTGGGTTCAGGGAGTCCAGAAACATTCAGGAAGTACAAGTGGAGGTGTGGTGGTGGAAGTTTCCAGAACTAAACATCTTTATTGCTTGCCTGCAACACCCTGCAGTGGGATGAGAGTGTTGGGGCCACCAGAAAGGGTTGGGACTAGAAACAGGAGGCGTGAGTACTCGGCTGTGTGTGTGTGTGTGTGTGTGTGTGTGTGTGTGTGTGTGTGACCTGCCCAGTCTCCTGGGAGAAGGAAGCCAACACCACCCAGGATGGATGATCAAAGGGCTCAGCCATTTTTGCCGTGTTTCCATGGTGCCAACAGACTGCTTCGCGGTTCGGGTACCCGCAATGGGGAAATGTGTTTCCCATAGCGCAGCCGTGAGTGAACACCGAATCTCTGGCTAGGAGGCTGCCGAACTGCAGGCCTGCAGTAAGACCCTAATATCCAGGGACTTCTATCACCTCTCCCCACCCCAGGAGACTGCATGCCTCTTCTAGCCTCCCTGCACCTGTGTTTCTCGGTGGGCTGACCATGCACTCCACAGGGATGCCCTCAGATGGGTCCAATATGGCAGCAAGATTAAAGAAATTGCTTCCACTAAGAAATGAAGGAAGTCTTTATCTCTTCTTGACCTAGTCGCAAGCACTTTCTGGGTCACTCAGGTGACCTCTGCCCTCTGTCCTGATGTTCTGAAATGACCCCTTTGCTCCCAGGGTTTTGTAAACTCCACTTTTGTGCCCACAGGCTCCTTACCACAGCTCTGGGGACTATGGTTCCATCCAAGGCTGGGATGGGGACGGGGGATGGAGGCTTTCCAGGATGACCTCGTATTTCACAATCACCACGGCCCCAGCGTCAGTGAACAACCAGTTCCAGATCCCCACAATCTTGGTTTTGCCAGGCATTGACCAGGGTGTCCCCAGATGGCACGTTGGGTGGCCCCCGGGGGGCACTGTGGGGAGCAGGTGCTCACCAAAGAGGACAGAAATGTTTCCACACTTTGTTTGCTGATAGGGCAACCCTAAATGTCAGTTCAGCCTCTGCCGTTCCACCGGCCATTTATTCCCACTAGAGAGGCAAGCGGCGGCCGAGGCGGAGCTGGGGAGTGAGCTGGCCTCTGAGCGGAGCCAGCTGTGTGAAATCTGGGTGAGCAGGCTCTCAGGCCCTGGACCCGCTGCATGACCTTGAAGAGCCCAGCCGCCTCTGCCTGTTCTCCCCCTCCTCCAAGTTATTTTTATCCAGCCTGACGGCCCTCGGCTGTGCCAGCAGTCTGGGCTCTGGGAGCCGGAGGCAAACCAGGCCGCTCACATGTCTGGTGCTGAATCCCAAGAGAATGACTCTTGGGGTGCCACCATCATGGCCACAGGTCCTCCACACTGGGGACCCCATGGGAAGGGCCATAGTCCTGGAGGACAGTACCCAAGAGAAAGGGAGCTGGGCTCTCCCGATGCTCTCTCGGCCCTGGCTTCTGTCTGAAGCGCTGTGGAGACCTGGTGGTAGGGATCTCCTGCCTCAGAGCTTTGCTGCTGTGGAGAATCTTCCTGGTCCCGACTTGTCAAGCCTTGGTGGATAGTCATGCGGGCATCTGAAGTGGGGACGACGGTGGCTGCAGGCTGTAGCTGTATCGAACAGATCTGTCCTGTGCTTCACTGTTACAGGGTGGGCTGTAGAGATGGCTCAATAGCCCCTGCTTCATTTCTGTCTTCAGGAAGTGAAGCAGACAGCACAGTCCATCCTGCTGGCCTGGAGTGGCTGAATCTCACCAGTCCTCAGGACTAGGAGTCCCACCTCTTCGTGTGAGCAGCCTGCCCCGGCCATGGAATCCTTTAGATTAAAGCTTCGGCTCCAGACCCAAGGTCCATGTGTTCTGGGTCCACAGTGCCTAGGGGGGTCACAAGGCACCATGTAACTCCTCTGTGCCTGTGGGGAATGAGACTAAGGCTCTGAGCTCTGAAAGGACTACAGGGGAGCCTGGTGGGCAGCAGGGTCGGTGGTGGGGGCGGGGCCGGGGGCGGGGCTCTGATGGGTGAGGAGAGATGCCTTTGTATGGAAGCCGTTCTAGAAAATAAATCAGAAAAGGTGGCACCATTTTCAGAGCTCCTGGGGCGGGGGAATAGGAACGTTTCCCATTCCTCGGGGATGGCTGTGTGTGTGGGGTCAGCTCAGAAAGCCCCAATTTCAGTGATTTCAGAGACCCACGAGTGGTAGAGCACTGCTCCTGATGGCCTCCCAGTTGGCCCCAAAGGAGGTGGACTGGAGATGGGACCAGACACACTGTCATCAGATTTCCCAGCTCCAGGGGCTGTCGGAGAAGAAGACGGCAGGACGGGGACCACGTGGTTGCTCCTGGCAACCCTGCTACCAGGGACTGTGGGCGGAGGGGCAGCTGGCCTCTCGGGAGGATGGGCTCTCTGGGCGGAAGCTGCCCCTCGACTGGGCAACAGATTCCTCCGGGCCGGCAGGATGGTGCCAGCCACTCTGTGCACTGGAGTGGACCGGAGGGCTGAGATGGGGAAAGTGGGAGAAGAGACACTGGGGAGGACAGGGCCAGGCACTCTTCCCAGAATGGCGAGCTGGCCGCTCAGGGAAGGTAACCCTGAGCAGCTATGGAGGAAAGACCAGGGCCACACAGGGAAGGCCAGGGCACCAGTGGGTGTGGGCGAAGGCTCCATCTCAGCTGCGTAGCTGTTGAGGTGGGAGAGAAGGCGAATCCGGACAGGGTCTGCATGGCTGCTGGGTCCTTCCAGGACCCCCAGGTACCTGATGACCTCCGTGAGGCATTCCCGAAAACCAATGCTCCGGAAGTCAACAGCCAGGGCTCGGGGGTCAAAGAACCCTGTAAAGTAAAGCACCATGAGGGCATGCCGGGGATGAAGCACAGAACCTGGGGGAAGATACCACGTGTGACCTGTGGATAGCCTACAGTGACCCAGTGACCTTGGACATGTCCCTTCACCTCCTGGAGCCCCTGCCTCAGCACTAGAAACCACGCTGCATCACAAAACGTGTTTTCTTCACACTTCATGATTGATGCGAAGAAAATCTTGTGGCCCACACAATTTCTCTAAGCTGACACCCGTGAAAAGACAGCGGACATAGAAGATGTATTATAACCCCACTTTCTGAAAGGAGGCAGGCTTGGGGAGAGGAGGGAATGACCGCAGCTAGCGGAGCAGAAGGTCGCCAGGAGAAGGCACCACTGTGTAGTGGTGAAGCCTTTAGAAGCCACCAGGGCTGGGTTCGAATCATGGACCTGCCACTTAAACTGGCCACCTGGCCACGGATGAGCATCCCCAGGCCTCAGTTTCCTCAGCCTGAAAATGGGAGGCGATAGAAGTAGCTGTCACTGCTGCAATGTTTGCCGCTGCGGCGAAGAGAGAGGGTGAAACGAGATGGTCCTGGGACCCCCTCCATAAATGGAGGGAGCTGTCACTCACGCCAGTGGCCCAGCTGCTGCTGCGTCTGAGTTCATCCTCCAGCTCAGAACACAGTTTGGAATGTACTGGCCCCATGCAGCTGCTACCAGGCAAGGGCTCTCTCTTGGCCTGATGTCACTGATGGGCAGGCCAGGTGGACTGTCCACACAGGCGTCCACATCTCTACTGCCTCCACAATACCTGCTCTTCTCTCAAATACCTTCTGGGCAGGGGGGGAAAAAGCAGCAGCCAGTACTGGCTCCTGACTGTGGCAGCAAATCTCTCATCTCTGGTTCATGGCTGGGGACCCTCGAAGGGACAGGACAGCTCAGCAGGAGACTGCAGGGTCTGGCAGTTTAGGGTGAGACTTGGCTGTGCTGTGTGATGATGCTGATGATGCATGTGTCCCTCACCTCTGTGTTTGCTGGACTCTTTCATTTCATAACTTTTCATTTAATAAACACACACACACACCACACATCACACACATCACACACCACACACACACACATCACACACCACACACACATCACACACCACACACACACACACAATCACACCACACACACATCACACACCACACACACACACACAATCACACCACACACACATCATACACCACACACACACACACACACATCACACACCACACTCACACACATCACACCACACACACACACATCATACACCACACACACACACACACCCACACCCACACACACACACCACAAACACACACACACAGTTTGCTTGTTTTTCAAGACAAGGTTTCTCTGTGTATCCCTGGCTGTCTTGGAACTCATTTTGTGGACCTAAAACTTAGAGTGCTGAGACTAAAGGCATGTACCACCACTGGCCAGCTTAAACATGATTTCTTTATATATATTTATTTCTTTGAGACCTGGTCTAATGTAGTCCAGGTTGATCTTCAACTCACTATGTAGTTGAACTCTGAACTTTGATCTTTTTGGGTCCACATTCCAAGTGCTGAGATTACAGGAACAGCCACCACTCCTGGCTACTACAGGGCTAGGGATTGAACCCAAGGCTTTGTGGACAGCAGGCAAGTACTCTACCAACTGAGCTACATCCTCAGCCTCTTTTAATTAATTAGTTAGTTAATTTTTAGATATTCATTCATGTAGTCTAGACTGGTCTGGAACTCACTGTGTTGCCTACAATGATCTGGAACTCCTGATCCTCCTGCCTCCACTTCTAGAGAGCTGTGGTTACATGTGCACACCACCATGCCTGGCTACATGGTTCCTTTTAAACAAATGTCTGCCGAGTTCTTATTACACACTTCACAGCAGTATCTAATTTAATCCTGATAAACACTCTTTTACCATATCCACTTTAAAGCTGAAGAACCTCGGGGATAGAAAGGATAAACCATTTGTCTTAAGTCAAGACTGAAGGAGCAGCAACACCAGAATTAAATCAAAAGCCTGAACACTCCCAACCATAGCTCTCTGCCCTTTCCATTAGCCTGAGACACAGTGGTGAGGACACCCCCACCCCCTCCTTCCTGGTCCTTGTGAGAATGGAGTGAGATAAGTGAAAACATTTTAAAGTGCTGCCCACATGCTAATCACCACTTTCCCTTTAATAGGATCACCATGAATATAATTTGAAGCCTCTCCCCATTGGCTGCGACTGTCAGGAATGCGTTCCTTTGGCAGACTTTTCCAAAGGGGCCACCGCATTAGAATTACTGGGTAGGTCGGCTAAACTTGCCAATTCCTACAGTCTAATCTAGACTGACTCTTTCAGGGAGATCCTGAATACTGCCTGCCCCCAGGTGCCACACCGATTTGGACCACTGTTCTCTTCCAGAGCTGAAAGTTGTTCCCCAGCTTTACATCTCTGTAGCTAAGGTCTGTGGAGTGTGGAGGCTTCCCAATCACACCTAGAAGATGCTAGACAGGATTGCCATTCACCTGGGAGTCTTTTTAAACTCTTCGCTACCGAGAGGTGGTGGCGCATGACTTTAGTCCCAGCACTCGGGAGGCAGAGGCAGGTGGATCTCTGTGAGTTCGAGGCCAGCCTGGTCTACAGCATGAGTTCCAGGACAGCCAGGACTGTTACATAGAAAAACCCTGCCTTGAAAAACAAAACGAAACGAAAGTCATCGCTGCTCCATGATTTTAATGGAAAGCGTTAACAAAATGATGGAATGACTTGCCAGTTCCCATCATCTGACACCTGCTGTGAGCATGACTCACTTTCCAGTGCTGCCGAGGGTCCAACAGCAGTCCAGAAGCCTAGGCCAACGGGTAGAGACACCAGCAAAATGTCTATGGCTAAAAATCTCAGACACTTTCCTCCCTGGGTTCAGGTTAGTTGAAGACTGGGATTCTATTGAGAATTTGCTCATCCAAGCTACCGGTTAGCCAGGTCTTGCTGGTGAGTCTTCTGGAAGCCGGTGCCACAGAGCAACCCTCTAAGACTGGGAGGAGTGGCACTGAGGCAAGGCTTAGGACAAATGGAGACGCAGGAAGTCATGAGGGAGACAAAGAAGAGAGACAATTCGGTGTAGTGGCCCCTGCCTGTAATCTCAACTCTAGAGGCTGAGGCAGGAGGATTTGTGAATTTGAGGTCAGCTTGGGCTACAGGGAGAGATTCTTTTCTCAAAACAAACATCAAAGTAGCATAAAACTAAAGAGAGGAGCTTGGCAAAAGGTGGCTGGAACCCACTTCAGTTCTTCCACGGGAGGGCAATGACAATCTATTTGGCCATCAGTTTGAGCTTACCCCTTGGTCCCCAGGGCCCTGTATCAAAGTACTTGTAGTGTGATTAATTCCCAAGAGAGTAGAGCATTGGTACCTGTGCCACCAGAGGCATGGAGCATCTTCAAGTGATCCACGGTCATCTGCAAGACCTCGGCTTTCTCCAGCTTGGAGGAGCCCTGTGGGAATGGAAGGCAGAGGCTGCAGCAGGTGAAGGCTGGGGTGAACTGCCCTCCCGTCCCCATCAGCATTCACTGCCTGGGTTTCCTCCCTTCCCTCCCACCCCCTGACCACTTGGGCTACTACTTTGTCCAACCTGTCCAGGACTGCTAGGTGCTTCACTGTCCACATCATTTCGGGGCTTCCATCCTAAAACGCCTCCCCGACTCAACCGCCCTGGCTGAATCCTCCTTAGTCTCCTTCCACCTTGTCTCTTGGGCGTCTCTCTCCTAAAACACTCCCAGTGAATGTCAGCCCACTTCTCTCCCAGAAAGACTCATCTACTGCCATGGCCTCGTCACCATCACCAGACTCCTGCTACCATCCACCATCACCTACTCCATAGACCTGCTGTCCTGGGAACCCAACTCCATCTTCAGTATCCCCAAGTCCTAGCACATCATCTGAGCCCAACAAACTTGTCCTTCTCTGTTCTCTCTTGGGAAATGGCTCCAGGGAACTTTGGCTCCCATGGGAAACCTGAGGGTCAGATTCTCCGTGCCCGTCCCTTAAATACAGACACCAAGTCTAGTTCATTGCTGGCTCTGAGAAGGCTTTAATGAGCATCTTGGAATGGCTGACTTGTACTTACTGGCCTAAGGGAAGGCAGATGACATGTGACCTAAGCCTTGAGCAGAGGGTAAGGGTCTTTGAGGCAGCCTGATTCACCCATATGTCTCTCCACTGTGGTCCTCACCACCTCCTCCCACTCCATGTTCCACAACAGGTGCTCACTCTCTGAATGCACTTTTTACTATCAAAGAGCTCTAGAAATGTCGGGGGACATGCGATACAGTTACGTGCTCTTTCTGCTCAGAAATTTATTAGCCGTGTAATGTAGTAGGTAGATATTACATGACATCTCTGTCCCTTACTTCCTTACCTGTACGATGTGCAGAATAATCCCTGCCTCTCAGGATCAATTTTAGGATTTAATCCAAAGGAACACATCAGGTATAAAGCCACCATACCCAAGACACCTTGCTAAGTATATTTGTCTATTCGTTTTGTCCCGTGGCCAGTGACAACTATGCATACTTGTGTGTGTACGCACATGTGTGTGGCATATGCACACCTTGTGTATGTGTATGTGTGTGGGGTGCCCATTTGTACACATGTGGAGGCCAGGAGATAACATAAAGTATCATCCTTTATTACTCTCCATCTTATTTTTTCTTAGATTTTTATTGTTTCTTTGTAGTATGTGTATCTATGTGAATGTATGCTCATGTGTGTACAGGTGCCAGCAAAGGCCAGAAGACATCATCAGAGCTCCTGTAGTTGGGGTTATATGCAGTTGTGAGCTGCTGGCTGGGAATTAAACTTTAGTCCTCTGGAGAGCAGCGCGTGCTTTTAACTGCGGATCGCCTCTCCAGCCTTACATTTTAAAAATTATTTGTGTGTGTGTGTGTGTGTGTGTGTGTGTGTGTGTGTGTGTGTGAAGTCAGAGGCCAGCCTGCTGGAGTCATTTCTCTCTTTCCACAATGTGAGACCTGGACTGAACTCAAGTCTCGCTGTCCAGGCTCCTAGAATCTGCCCATCTCTGCCTCCCAATGCTGGTGCTACAGGTGTGCACAGCAGTGTCCAGTTTTACATGGCTGCTGTGGATTTGAACTCAGATCTTCAACAAGTGCTCATACCCTCTGTGCCATCTTCCCAGACCCCAGTGACAGCTATTCATAAACAACCACAGCTCTGCCGGCAGTCGGAGACACCATAGGAACCACACCCTGCCTTCTACCGGATCAGCACCATCACACACCTGCTTCTCAAAAGCAGTGGGCACCAAGCGTCGCAGTTCAGAAAGGCTGCTGTTGATACGGTCCCGGCGCCGTTTCTCTATGATCTGAAAAATAATGACAAGAAGTTCCCTGTGGGCATTTCATCACACTTTCCAGTGTGCCCTGATGGACACTGACTCATATTTTCCCTCAAGTTATTTTTTTTTTCTGGGCGGTAAATCTATTCGTTATTTACGGAGGACGAGAACGAGAGTTCAGACTGACAATAATCTGTTTCATGCCACACAGCAAAAGCGTAGAGCTGGGACTAGCATTCAAGCCTCTTGTCCTGGTCTGTAGGGATGATGTTCACCATATGTAAAGCAGGGCACTGCCTATCAGAATGAGGACACCAGCCTCAGCACTGGTGCAGACCTGGGGGACCCTGCCGGGCCAGAGTTAGCCCTCCAGTTTCTGGATCATGAGAACACCTGAAGAATTCTGGGTCTTGCTCTCTCTAGCTGCAGAGGCCTTCATCCACACTCTCTTCCCCACAGTTCTGGCAACAGAATCCTTCCTCATAGCTGGGTAGAAATTATAATCCATCACTTTTTAGCGAATACGAGGTAGGGAAGAACGATTTGCCTAAGGCTTCTGGTGAGTGAGTGAGTGAGTGAGTGAATGAGTGAGTGAGTGGCCTCCTGCTGGATCCCAGGCCTCTGGATCCCCAGGAAAAGGTGGGATAGGATAAGATGGAGGGCTGCTAGCAGGGAGCGCCCTCCTTGCTCAACACAAAGAAGAAAAAGTTCTGGGTTCAGAGAAAACAAGGAAGAGCAGAGACTACAACAAAGTATTGATGGGCTATGGTCAGGTGCCGATTGATCAGAGTTTATGGGAACCCACTCAGTCTTCAGAAGAGCTCGTTGACGTCTGGGGCTGTAGCTCAGTTGGTGGCATGCTTGCCTCTAGCGTGTATGAGGTCTGCACTAAATCCTCAGTACTGCAAAAACCAGGTGTGGTGGTGCATGCCTGTAACACCAGCATTTGGGAGGTGGAGGCAGGAGGATCAGGAGATCAAGGGCATCCTCAACTGCATAGTGAATTTGAAAAACAAACGATCAATCAGTCTTTTGAGGTAGATGCTCCCTGTCACTCAGAGGTAGAAGCAAGGCAGTGGAGGGGAGGTGGCATGCCCAGCCACCAGGACTGCAATAGGCAGAGCTTGGGTTTGAACCTGTCCAGTCAGCCGGGATGATGGGCAAGGCCTCCTTGGATTCAGTGCAAACCCTGATTGGGCTCCTCAAAGGCTGCGGCTCACTCACCCCTCTGCGTTTCTTCCGGGCTTGCATCTGCGAAGGGCTGGGGGTGGTCAGCGGTCTGGCCATCTGGCTGCAGGGGAAGAGAAAGGCTAGTTTCTCAGAGCCGAGGGATCATCTCCCTGACCTAGATTGACCTGGGAGGCCCGGCTGGCAGCAGGCCAGGACCGGGGTGCATGGGGTGGGGTGGGGCTCCCAGGTGGCCATAGCCTCCCAGACCAGGAAGGGGCACAGGGCATGCAAAAGGGTTGCCTGCTCTCCTTTCTCCCCGGAGACCCATTTCTCTGGGGCCAAGTCCTCTGTGCTCTCCTGGCTTCCTGCCTGTCAGCCTCTGGCGGACGCGGGTAGCCTAGCTCCTGCTCCTGCGGGCGGCCGACCGTCGGGGAACCGCGAACCAGGATGCTCCCTCTCGGGTCCTGCAACCCGATCCCGGGGGCGGGCTGATTGAGGGCGCGGGCCAGCGGCGGCCAGGCCGGGCCGGGAGGGTTGGATTTCAGAGCTAGCCGCTGGGAAGGAGCGTGGAAAGCGCAGATGCCGCCGCTTCCCACGGGCCGAGCGCCGCCGCCCGCCCTCCGCCCGGCCCGCAGCTGCCGCCTCCTCCCACGCGGCGCGGCCGGGGGCGAGGCGGAGGCGGCATCTGGGTCACAGGCTCCTCTCGCACGCTCGGGGACATTGCTCTGGCCTCCCAGAAGGCACGGGTCCCGGAATCCTCGCTCTGCCTCCCATGCCTGTGCCTTCTTCTGAGACCCAGGCTGGATGACGGATGTTTGCTCCAACCCCAATAGTTCTATTACAAAGACTCAGCCGAGGGGTTTTCTGCCCGGAATTTGACCACAGTAACCACCTCAACCGCTTTCCGTCTGGATGGCCTTTTGCTCCATCTATCACCTCAGAAGGCAGAGTTTCACTGGAGAGGACCAAGGACCCAACCCTACCGATGCTAACTCCACAGCTTTGGGCAAAGTGCCTCCCCTGACATTTGGGGATGCCAACAAACATCTCAACAGGAGCCCATGAGCTTGCCCAGCACCTGCTTCTTGTCTACCCTAGGTTCCCCGTCTCAGCAAAGGCCACCCCCACCTTCTACTTCTCTGGCACTTTCTTTGATTCCGCCTTGGTCTTCACTTTATGTGGTCAAAACCTGCCTATACCGTGTGTCGATAGTTTCATGTCTGTTTTCTTGGTCTCCATGGCCCTCTATGTCTCTCACCTGCAGGCTTACAAAAAGAGCCTTCCCTTGGGTCCCACTGAACTTTTTTTTTTTTTTTCCTGCTACTACCAGAAGGCTTGATCTTGTCTCTCTTAAATTTCCTTTGTGGCTTCTTAATGCTTTTAAGACCCAAAAGCATTATCCCTTAAGCATTATCCTTTGGTTGGCCCAACTGGTTCCTGTCACACACACCCCACCCTGAGACAGGATTTCTCTGTGTAGCTTTGGAGTCTGTCCTGGAACTCACTCTGTAGACCAAGCTGGCCTTGAACTCACAGAGATCCACCAGGCTCTGCCTCCCGAGTGCTGGGACTAAAGGCAAGTGCCACCACAGCCAGGCTTCCTGTCACCTCTGATATCCAGTTGTCTCTTGCTCTGCATGCTCCAATCTGAATGCAGGAACTCCCACATCTGCATATGTGTTCTGTAGTCTAGACATCTCTGGTCCAGGCCATCTCCTCACCTCCTCACCATGGCCTAACGACCTCAACCAGCCTTCAGATCGCCATTCAGATGTCACCTCCTTTAGGAGTCCCGAGCCCCTTTAAAATTCCTAGTCTGCGGCATGGCCCCTGCTGGTTACTTTCCCAGACTCCTGCATCCACAGCATTTATTCTAATCGTTTTACTCTGGCATGATGATTTGATTAATGTCCATCTATCCAACAGACACGTCCATCCATGAGGTTATGAGGCTCATCCATTTCACTCACTGTTACAGCTCAGGTCCTCAATCATCTTGGGACCCCGCAGATCTCACAGTGGGATTTCTTACTTATCTTCAGTGCCACAGAGAATGTAAATATGAACAACATAGAAATCTGCCTTCTGGGCCTTCGTGGACCGGGGCCATACACAGCTCACCAGGAGGGTCTCAGCCCATGTGACTCTCTTTGTGGCATCTGAAGTTGGATCATTCTCAATACCTCACAGAAAGGCAGCTTCAGGAGAGACCAGATAGCACACTGCCTCGGGCTTGTTCCAGCCACATCTGGAAAAAAACGTATCTCTCACCCTCACATCTGGACAAGCAGAGCTGCTGAAAGGCCTGTGAAAGCTCCCGGGAGGCAGGGCCCTGTGAGCCAGGGCCTGAGATCTGTGGGCAGCTTGTTTACAAAACCTTCCCTGGTTCACTGGGGACAAGCTCTGAGAGCCAAGGTACATAAGAAATACAGCCTTTGTCTCCCTGGCTGGAGAAAGCGTCTCTCTGGGTATTGGGTTAGCCTTGTGCACGTCACTGCCTCGCAGACCGATCCCTCCTCAGGGACCGTCTGTCAGAGGTTGACACAGCAACACCCAGCTTCAGGGCCAAGGGCGCTGTTCCACCTTTCCCCAGGCTCGTGGTCAAACACCCCTGCCACCTGATCTGCCCCTTCCTCCAAATCTCCCAGGCAAATCTCATCTTACAGTTTGCTTGGCACCACTGCCAAGGTTCTCTCTCCTCTGGGTTTTATAAAAGTCCATTTTCCAGATGAGGATGCTGAGCCTCGCTCAGGGTGCCAAAGTAGCTTGGCCAGCCCACCCAGCTGCTCAGGAGCAAAGCAGCATGGGAACCTATCTTCTGGCTCCCAGCTCAGCATTGTTTTCCTTCTTAAGCCTGACTTCCTGTCTGTCTGACTAGTCCTCCAATCCCCTTATCCTTAAGGCTCCCAGCCAGAGCTCACCACAGCCTGGGATCTGGCCCTGACAGTGGTAGGGGTTCTGGGAACCTCTCCTCTGAGCGTCTAGGCAGATCTTCATGGACCCAGAGAAGAGATGGTGAGCGCCAGTATCTCCACAGGCCTCCTGCAGCCCCTAGACAGGATCCCAGGGCAGTCTCTTCAGGTGCTTTAGCTTTCAAAGTGGTCTGCCTGCCAGTCCTGAACACCCCCAGTCCCAACTCCACCTGGGAAGTCCCCTGTGTGTGTGGGCCTTTGGTGATGACTCCACCTATTTTGTATCAAGCAAAGGCAACATTCCAATCAAGGCTCTGAATGATGGACAGTCACACAGAACTAAGACCGTTTGTAAAATGAGAACACTCAGAGAGAGAAAGGACCTTTGACCATACAGCAAATAAGAGGAAAATCCAGAATCCGAGTTACATCTACTGCCTTTAAAACATGTAACACACACACACACACACACACACACACACACACACACACACACACACTATAACATTACTTTATGTGTATGGGTGTTCTGCCTGCATGTATGTCTGTGCAAGAAGAACGCACCAGATACCCTGGAACTTGGATTACAGGCAGTTGTGGGCCGCCAAGACATGCAGAGAGTCAAACCTGGAAGGACAGCGTATGTTCTTAACCCACTGGGCCACCTCTCCAGCCCCACATCTCCTGGATTTTAATTCAGTACTCTTGCCAATGTCTTCCAAATATGCATCATCCCACTATGTCTCTCTTGTAGCCTGCACTTTCCGTTCTAGACAGCAGTATGTAGCCATTTGTCTCATACATTGCATAATAGACCTTAGGAAAACAATTGTTTTAGGGGGAGGGATGTGACAGATTCAGAGCTGAGAATGCCCTGTAAGGCAGTCTGTAGATTTCTAGTTTTTCCATTAGACTTTGCTGCCTCATGAATGTGGCACTCTCTCCACAATGTGACAACATTTATTAGAAATTACCTACGCCAAAGCAAGAAGTTATGTGCTATATATGTATATTCAACCTCATTCTAGCTTTACTCTCAGAGGTAGATATTTACACACTCATTTTGCTAAAAAAAAAAAAAGAGGGGGAGGAGAGAGAGAGAGAGAGAGAGAAAGAGAGAAAAGAAAGAAAATGTCAGTTCAGGAAAGAGTAAAGTCACTTACACATGGAAATGGTGGTGAGGTCTCTCTGACTTCAGAGACTACCATGTGCCTTAAATCATAAAGGAACAGCCTGTAGACCCTGACTTCAAGTCTCACATGTGGGAGGTGCTCATGAAATATTTGAAGATGGGTAAGGGCTGTATTGTGTGTGGATGCAGACTGTTTCAGGGGGCCAACTTCACACAAGAGCCCTGTGGGTGATTCCCACGGATGGAGCAGGTTGCTACCACCAGGCAGATGTCCTTGGTGACATCAGAACACACTCTGCCCCTTGGGTCTCACATCTCTGAATGGGAGGGATTTGTGCACTGCCTCTGACCCCAGAGTCTGGCTGCCCCAGCCCTGTGGCCCCTGCCACCGTCTATCCGGCTTTCTTTGTACATGAAGCTCTTCTTCCCTGAGAGTTCCCCGAGGGCAGAGGCTGAGCAGGATACATCTGGGCTCTGATGCCCAGCCCAGGGTCTAGGCCACAGCAGGCATCGTTCAGTGGTCTCTGAATCGAAGCATTTATGTCTACTGGGGGGAGGGCCCTTTTGGGGAGTGCTACAAAGAGGCATCTTATAAGCCAGTCTGCCAGATGTCCAGCTGCCTTCCCTCCTTGGAGGAGTCTGGTCTTCTGCAGCAGTCTCTAACAATGAGCTCTGGTTAAAGTGACAAAAAGATATAGAGGGGAAAACCTGCAGTGACCTTTTACACCTTAGTCCCAGTGCCGCCGCCGCCATCGGGAAGCCATCATCATCATCCCTGGCTGTGAGTGGCCTCTCCTCACTGGAGGGGTGAGGGACGGGGGCGGGGCTCAAAGCCCACACTATGACTCTTCTTCCATGTAATCCAGACTCTCCATAGCCCTTGGCAGTTACTGCCCAGGCTCATGAAGGATAGAAGCCAGCTCCCATCCATCTCAGCTGGCATCGACTCTGTAC